CAGGATAGAGGCAGGTTCCCTGGCCCTGTTGACTACACACCACTTGCGGATTATAACAACGAAAGCACCCGGCATATCGCTGCATCCAGCCTTGAAACTGCTTTCCTTCCTGCTGTGCTCTCTTTTTTGCCTCAAGAAAGTCCTGTCGACGAGGATTCCAACAGTTGATAAAGGAATGCTTTTTCTTGTCGGCAGATGATGATGGTAGGATACGGCAGATCACGCAGGTGCCACGGAGCGCTTGGAGGGAATCCTCATACTGCTGTAATTGCCGGCTCTCCTGCTGGATCTGCTGGATTCGCATCTGAGACCCAATAGTCAGATCGCAGTCGACGTTCTGCTCTGGACTAGGCGAGCTGGTCGTAGTAGGATCAGTCGAAGAAGATTCAGGATTCTCTTGACGGAAGCGACATTGATCACAGAGAGGATCAGGCGCGCTGCAAGCCACTGCAGCCCCATCGAGGAAGGAGCTCATCGCAGCGACTCGACAGTTCGGCTGATCTAAAACAGCATGCATAGCCTGTACATCAGAGGAGATCACATGGCCAGGTCGACCTGACTTGCTAACACTCCAGGATGAAGGGAGTAAGATGATCGAACGACCGCCCTGTTGGTCACGTCCTAAGCGGCCTGCCTCCTGTGTAAAGTCAATGAGACTGGATGGGGCTCCGAGATGAATAACAAGGCGGACTCGCGGGTGATCAATTCCCATCCCAAAGGCAGAAGTGGCAACGATCCAGTTTGGATTTCCATTACGCCACGTCTCGAGGGTTTGCGCCTTCTCTTCGCGGGTCCCAGAACTGGCATGGTAGAAGGGACACTCCAGAATTGTAGCCACTTCCTCCGTAATCGCTTGGGTTTGGCAGTAGAGGATTGCACGCTCTTCAGAGTCAAGTTGGGTGCGCTCTTGCTGGATCCAAGGAATCGCAAACTTGAAGAAGTCCTGATCTATAGGGCAGGAAACTACCTGGTAGGATAGGTCACGGCGAGTGGTGAGGCTACGGATTAATCGTGCCTTAGAGAGTAGCATGGTCTGCTCAAATTCTGCCATCATGATGGGTGGTAGTGTGCCAGTGAGGAAAACCATCTGACACTGAATATCACGTAATGTAGGAAGTAAGGCCATTCGCTTGCGATATGAAGAGGCTGTCAGAGTCAGATGACACTCGTCAAACACGACACGGTCAAGTTGATTGGCAAGCTGGAGCCGGAGAAGAAAGGTTCGGAAGTTGATGTGTACTGCCTGCTCAACGCTCACGAGGATCAGTGGACTCGATCCGAGGTGTCTAGATTCATCCTGCTGATTCCAGATAGTCACCTCAATTCCAGCATTCTGACATCGAAGGAGCATGTCCTGCTTGAGGACCAATAAAGGAAGCACTACCACGGTTGTTCGTGCACCAGGAAGCTGGCAGGGCAGAAGATAGAGTAGGCTCTTGCCCTCGTTTGTTCGAAGAACTGCAACCACTTGACTAGAACCCTGGATGATATACTGCAAGGCTTGTTGCTGATTACTAGTTCGATACTGCGCTTCTGGCCCATACATGCGCTTTAGAATGGTCTGCGCCTGCTCCATAGTCCAGCGCTGTTGACTCTGTCGTGGTTCGTGGCAACGATGAAATCGTTGAACTAGTGTGGACTCAGTTGCCTCACTCCGCACTCGCTTGGAAGAACTCTCGTCCCATTCCCACTCTGTATTGACGTTGGCTGGTTGGGAGGACTGAGTGGATACAGCAGGCAGTCGTCTTTTTAATAAGCTAGATGTAGAGTACTGCGAGGGCTGTTTGATTAATTGATGCCAGATCTCGCTAGCTTGGCGGAATTCTTGAAGACCAGCATCGGTGAGACCGGCTCGAAAATTGACTGTCCCTCCATAGATCTGATTCCCGGTATGAGGTGTATGTGCAGCCTGATAGTGGAATACCGCAGCCATACTGCCACTGTGATCCTCTATAAGGTCATCTTCATTATCAAGAGAATCCTCAATAAACTGTGACGCGAGAGTTCTAAACTTCTTAATGGCAATCCCAACAGTGATCTGGCGCCAGGCTCGAATATGAATCTTCTTACCAAGGATCTGCTCTCCAGTCCGGATCACGGTCTGCGTAAGATGATTATCAGACCAAGGCTTTGTTGTAGAGGCCCAGAGGTAGTCATAGACAGGAATGGATGTGCGAGAATGCGCAGTTTGCACCTTGTGCTGTAGCCACTGTCGGAAGGGCATGATTAAGATGAGAAACTGCGTGACTAACTGTCCTACTTCTGGGAGGAGAAACCGGGCGGGCCATCGAGAGGCATTAGTACGATGACGACTCTTGTGATAATCCAGAATAAAGAGCATTTGACCGTCATGGAGGAAGAGATCGCGAGTATGGAGGAGGGTGTTGCGCCATCGAATTCCTAGGAACTCTGTCCGTCGCGCTTGCTGGCCAGATCCAATGAAGAAGGGGACAAGTAAAGCCTCTAGGAATCGCTGGATAGTTGCTTCGTACTGTTCTACCATCTTCTGCGAGATCCGCCAGGTCTGATCAGCGCCCAACTCCCAAAACGTCGGAAATAGAACTGCATCCTGACTAACTCGACGGAAGAGCCAATCCTGATAGGGTACCACATAAGCATGATTGCGAGAATCTGTGAGAAAGGATGCACCAGCTTGTGTAGCGTCCCAGTTATCCATCAGATTATTGAGATCAAATTGAGGGATCTCGGTAGCTGGCCGTGATGGGCCGGATAAACACAACTCTTGCTCGAAGATGGCCTGGGCGGTAGAGATTCCCTCGCGGATCAGTTGAGAGAGTTCCAACAAGGACAGGCTTACATCTTGGAATGTAATGACTTGGCCCTCCCGATCCCATCGTACTTGAGCAGGGGGGACCTCACTCATTGCAATCTGGAATGCATACAGTCGATTCTCCAGTAGTTCAGCCACGGGTCCTTTGGTATCGTTAAGTAGCCATCGATCGCGGTGTCTAACAATAATATCTCCAAGATCCTGAGTGGGATAGTGCTGTTGTTCTAGGATAGAAAGAGCGAGGATCCAGATCTGACAGTTGTAGATCAGTTGCGAGAGGAAGGAGGTGTAGTTACCAACTGTCATCCACTGTTTCTTAGCTGGCATCCAGAATAAGAGTGCTGCAAAGGAGACCAGGATAGAATCAAAAGCTCGCAAAGGAATTGACTGTTGGATAATCTCAAGGCAGAACATGAGGGTTTGTTCATCCATCTCCTGCTGGAGTCGATGGAGAGCCTCGTCATTATCCGGCTCTGACTCTTGTTGGTGATATAGATTCTCCGCGGCAGTCATTATATCATTCCAGGCAGTCTTCTGACCCTCTGTTGGCTGAAATAAGGAATTAGGAAGGGCTTGGTCATCTATTACTCGACTCCAATAACAGACCAACTTCTGCCAGGTTTGAATGTACCGAGAGCGACTCTGAGGATTCTGGAGAGGCTGGATGGGATTCTGCGAGACCTCTCCTCGCGTAAAGGTATTGAGAAGTCGAGCATTGCGGCGACTTAGCCGTGGGATCTCACCAGCGTGGTTGTGATGCAGCAGCTGTTCGGTCTTTCTCCAGATTCGGTCCACGCTGGCGCAGATGAGATCTAATCTTATCTCATCACGATTGGGAAGTCGATAAAGATCTCCCACAGTTTCTAGATCTAATCCAGTGAGGTGAATGTGAATACCAGTGGTTCGCAACCATGGAGTAATTTCAGAGACATGCTGACTGTCATTCACAGTATATGATACAGAGTTCTGAGTTTGAAATGTACAGTATTCTTGGAGAAGGGTATCCAAGGAAGGCAGATCATTGGTAGTAAAGGCAGGCGCATATCCAGGAGTATTAGTATGTAGATCATGTGAGGTGTGAATAGAGTGAGCAAGTTCCACTGTAAAATACTGGATGTCTTGTTGTTTGGAAAATAGTGTCTGTAGATACACCTGATACCAAGGCATAACACCTTGGGACTTTCGCCATCCATGTTCCTGGTTATAATGCTGTCGTATACAATCAGTATTACGGGATCGATAATCACAGTTCTCAATATGACAGGTAAATCCAGGTATAATTGGAAGACCATTAATCTCAGTAGTACCATCAGAGGGTTGTACTACTGTATCAATTGTCTTAGCAATTAAGGAGAATTCAGGATGTTGCTCAATATGAACTTGCTCGTAGCGTTTTAAATGATGTCGTTTGCGTAAATGTTGTTGGAGACTCTGCTGGGTAAAGCATGATCCATGTTGTTGACAAAGAATTACCCGCCACTCAGGTAACACACGAAGATAGGGAGGGAAAGAGTAAGACTCCTCACTCATTTCTAGAGATTTTGAGTTGAAGTAAGAAGAGGTGGTATTGAGATGTGTAGAAACTTGGTTGTAGTAAAAAATTTACAAAGGAAGAGGATACAACTACGTAAATAAAAAAAATGAGTTGGTGACTATTCTACCCCTGAGACGCTGACCACGCTAAACCAATCTTGCCTAGCTCCCGAAATTTTTGTTAGCAATAACCCTGAGGTGTTCAACACCTCAACGTAAACTATGTATAGGATTGACTAGATAGTGTTACACTACTGCACTACGGAAGCGAGGATTATCCGTAACCAGTAGGGTTAGGGTATCAGAGATATCAGAGATATTCTATGATGGATATGATCTAAGCATCAGAGAAATCAGAGAAAGTCTATGATTTCTATGTTGATGATGGAATATATAAGGACGCTCATTACAGCATGTATTTAGTTTTATTCTATCGTCTTGAATTAACCGTGCTAAGTACCCCTTAGCTTTGACAACTTGAGTATACGTTCTTCTATCGAACCGGATATTCATCCTCTTATTAAGACTTTGCTTTCAAGAAGCCTTTCGTACTTAGAAGCCTTATAACTTCAGCGTGTTATAAGCTATCCGAGATATACTCGACGGTAGTTTGACGAAGTTTCCGACAATTCAAGACCCTCATACGAAATGAGAAGTCTTAAGACCTGACTCAACCATGGCCTCAGCTGCACCTTCAACCCAACGGCCTGCTATCCAAAGCCAACCTACTCAGAGCAACGAGCAGAATGAAAAGATCGACATGATCGGAACACATGTGGAAAAGCTCACTAGGTATGTTGAAGAACTCAAGGATAAGCTAACCGAAAAAGACGACCAGGTTGAACAGCTCGAAGCGCAAGTACTTGCATTGGGAAATGAGAATGATGGCAAACCAACTGCTGGATCAAACAAAGTCAAGATGCCAAAACCAATGAACTTCGATGGCACCCAATCCAAGCTCAAGTCATTTCTTGTTAATATGGATATGCATCTTGACGCCAACAAGATCACCAGTGACAAGGAAAAGGTAATCTTTGTAGCCTCCTGCCTCACAGATGAAGCAGCAGACTGGATGCAACTAATGCTTGACGATTACTACAACGATGACGCCGATGAATGGGACGAATTAACCAAAACCATCTTCAGAAGCTACAAGAATTTCCAGATCAAGCTTGAAGAATCATTTGACAACATCAACGAAATCCACACCGCTAAAAGAAAATTACGATTTCTACAACAAACCGGATCTGCACAACAACTAGCGATCAAATTCAAACAAATTATATCGCCACTGCATTACGATGATGACGTTCTCATAGGACTGTTTGAGAATATGCTTAAGGAAGAACTCCAGACTAAATTGATTAAAATGGATCGACCTGACAAGCTCGGCAAATTCATCGAAATGGCAGTCAAGATGGACAATAAATTGTTCGAGATCAAACGAAAGAAACAGGAATTCCAGATATAGAAGAAACACGGCGGAATGCCCCAAATGAATGAAGGAAGATCACGCGGACCACAGAGAGACCGAGACGGAGATGTGGTTATGCAACTAAATGCAGCGCTATCCAAGGAAGAAAAAGAGAAAAGACGAAAAAACAAAGAATGCTACAATTGCGGAAAACTAGGACACTTTGCGAATAAGTGCAGACAGAAAAAAGCTCACGGGACTGGCCATCCACAGGGGCAGAAAAACCAAATTGCAACAATGATTATAGTACCAACAGAACAGAAGGAAAAACAACAAAATAGTAACGAGATCGATCATGAAGAAACCGACAAATACGAGAAAACCTGAGAAAAATGGATCCAAGAAAGACATCAGCGACGAAGAGAAATCCTTGACGTGTTGGGAAGACGTTCACCATACGCTCGAGAGGAACGAGCCACGCAAGAAGAAGACGCACCCAGAGTAGGACGGCGCACTAGATCACCTATAAGAATGAATGATAACGACGAAGATCTTATCGACAGTTATTCCTCTTTGGATGAGTCGCTTCAAACTCTACCGACGTTTCAGGACGATGGACGAAGGGCGATAACCCATGGGGACCTGAACCGTGAATAACCAGAACAAACCCTACTGAGGAAAAAAATCAAGAAGTTAGTTGAAACCCCAAACCGAGAAAAACAGCCACAAGAATGGGCAACAGATGAACATGAGTGGGAACATGAAGAACTATTCCTACGAAACTGGAGAAAGAATCTGGACCTACGATTCTACCAACGACAATATCCAGACAGTGACGACGAAGTCAGACTAAAAGAAGGTTGGGAACCTCAGGGAGAAAAACCTTGCAGTTGCACGCCTGCTAGAGCAACCTGCTGGGAAGATTCTCAAGATACATGGATAGACCACATACACGACTGCTGGAAATGCCAAGAATGGACATTTCACAAATGTGACCAACATAGACATGTCAACATTATACTATCTCACCTGTATGAGCAAGTATCAAGAAAGCAAGGACATCGGTTATGCAATGGAATACTTGGACATGTACGAAACTGCACCTGCAGCCATTACCTAAGTTTAGGAGGAACACATCATCACAAGATACATTGGACAGTATGCTATGACGAAGGATGTGAGCAACACATAGCAGAAAAAAGAAAGCATCAATAGTTTCCCAGAAAACCTAAGACAGTTGAGTTACTGCAACTCAAATGCCCTACTGAAAAGCCAGGATGTGAATATGTTTACGAAGAAGAAGCTCACCCATACCATTCAATAATCAAGGCAGATAGATGTTGAGTACCAGGATGTTTACACCATGACAAAAACCGAGACGAATCAGATTGGATGCTACGAAACGTCAGACTACGAAACTACTACAACCGACATCAAGAAGAACCAAAAGTTATGATCGCTACAGCAACTGAAACCGACACTGACTATAAGACGATTACAATACTCACAAAAATCCAAGGAAAAGATATACGCATCTTACTGGATTCAGGAGCAACAGGTAACTATATAAGTCAAAAGTTTATACACCTCAACAAAATACCCATCAAAACGACTGACGAATGGACGAAAATCGTTGGAATTGATAGAGAGACAATCACCAAAGGATACAAGAAGAAAACCAGTGGAATACTCATGAGATCAGGGAAATATGCTACAACAATCACGTTCGACATTGCACCAATGGACACTCAGTATTACGACGCAGTATTAGGAATGGCATGGCTGAAAGAACAAAACCTGATAATCGACTGGGCCTCCGGAACAGTGGCAGTCAACTCCAGCATGCTAAAAACAAAGACAGAAACCAAAGACATCGAGAAGATATTGAATCTTCATGAGGAATCAGGGACATCCTCAGAGAAAGGGCAAGCTGATACCCTAAGAAAGACACGGAAGGTGACGTGGACTCAAGAAGTAGAACAACAAGAAAACAAAAGGGAAATTGAAGCACAGGCAAGATAGATTGCAACAGTATGACCAAAGCCTAAGGAGCTTTACGAAAAAGAACTGGCCGAAGTCAAAGCGAAACTACCAGAAAAATACTACGACTACATTGAACTATTTATGAAAAAGGAATACCGACTACCAAACCACCCAAAAGAATACGAAGTACGAATACCCTTGAAACCAGGATTCAAGGTACCCTCAGTCAAACAACATCGCAAATCACGAGACGAACTAGAGATGGAAGACAAATTCATTGAGGAATTTCTCGCCACAGGATACATCCGCGAAGGACGAGGATCAGCCTCAGCAAGACCATTATTTGTGCCAAAGAAAGATGGAACCAAGTGAATGGTTATTGACTACAGAGCACTTAACAACGGAACTGAAGATGACGCAAACAAGGCACCACATCAGGAGCAGAAATGAGATTTACTCTAAGGAGCAAAAATCATGACAGTCTTTGACATCCAATGGGGTTATTACAATCTCCAAATGGCTGAAGAAGATATTTGGAAAACCGCATTTCTTACAGATAAAGGTCTGTATGAATGGGCAGTTGCTCTAATGGGACTGAAAAGACTACCAGCAGAATTTGCACGATTTATGATATATGTTTTAATATAATACCTTAACAAATTCGTTGCAGTATACTTCGACGACATCATTGTATACTCCAAGGACCCCAATGAACACGAAGGACACGTACAACAAGTTATGACAAAACTTATGGAAGCCGGACTTACGCTCAAGATCAAGAAATGTGAATTCGACACGACAACAGTCAACTACTTAGGAATGATTTACATACCGGAAGGATTAAAGATTCAACCAGAAAAAGTGGATGCTATTACGAATTGGCCAACGCCAGCCAACATCAAGGAAGTACAAGGATTTTTAGGAGCTACTGGATATGTCAGACGCTACATTCGGAATTACTCTGAACATAGCCAACCCATGACAGAACTCCTAAAGAAAGATGAAGAATTCGTATGGAACGACAGACGACAAAAAGCATTCGACAAGCTAAAACAACTGGTTACCGAAGCACCAATCCTAGCACTGGATGACCCAGAAAAACGAAAGATTATCAGACCAGACGCATCAGGATACGCACTTGGAATTGCACTCAAATAAGTAGGAAGTGACAGCATTATGCAAATTGTTGCCTTCTACTCAAGACAATTCACAGCAGCAGAAAGGAACTACGACATTCATGACAGAGAACTACTCGCAATAGTGGAAGCATTCAAGCAATAGAGACACTATCTGCAAGGAGTTAAGGAAGAAACAATTGTAAAAAGTGACCACCACAACCTAAAATACTTCACAACGACAAAGGAACTTACTGGACGACAAATACGATGGGCCGAATACCTATCAAGATTCAAATTTCGGATTGAACATATCAAAGGAAAAGAGAACGTTATTGCAGACGCACTTAGCAGAAGACCAGACTACACTATTGGGATTGAACAGCCAAAAACAAATATCCTAAAAGAAGATGAAGATGGAATACGCTACAATGTTAAAGCAATACTAGCAGCAACAATTACAGTCAACCACCACGATTTCCACAACCGCATGATCCAAGCAACCCAACAAGACAAGATACTTACAACGGCAATCACAAATAAAGAAGCATAAAAACAGAACGGATTAGCCTTATGGCAAGGATCAATACTAGTACCATCAACAATGATTACTGAAATCATCAAGATGCACCACGATCTACCAGCACATGGACACCAAGGAATCGACCAAACAATGGAAAAGATACAGCAATCCTACTATTTCCCAAGGATGAGAAAACAGATTGAGGACTACATAAGAAAATGCGAACATTGCAACAGGAACAAGCCAATCAACCATAAACCCTACGGAAAAATGCAGATTCTAGAAATACCAGAGAAACCATGGCAAAAGATCACAGTCGACTTTATACAAGGTTTACCAGCATCGAAAGATCCAATTACAGGACTTACGTACACGGATGCAATTGTTATTGTTGACAGACTCACCAAATATGTCATTATGAGACCAGTACAGAAGAACCTCACAGCACAACAATGCGCAATACTGATGATACGAGAAGTATTTGCATGGACCGGACTACTAGATGAGATCACATCTGATAGAGACAAACTGTTTACATCGAACTACTGGCAGACAATCACAAGAACATGTGGAATGACACACAATCTAGCAACCGCAAATCATTAACAGACTGATGGACAGACTAAAAGAATGATTCAAGCAGTTGAACAATACCTCAGACATTACCTTGATTGGAACCAAGAAAATTGGGTCGAACTACTACTGTTAGCACAGTTTGCAATGAACAATGCTACAAACACATCAACAGGACAAATATCTCACTTCGCCAACCTCGGAAGAATACCAAGAATGAGTTGGGAAACAGTCAAAAGAGAAGGAATGTCAGAAGAAGCAATGATTTAATTAGCTTATATGCAATTGATGCATAAGACAATGTCAAGAGATATTATGTGGGCAGAACAGAGAATGAAATGATACTACGACAATAAGCGCGAGGACGCACCAACCTTACAAGTGGGAGAGAGAGTTTACTTATTACGACGAACACCAGGATCAAAAACTTTCAATATTAAGAGCAAACGACCAAGCAACAAGCTCGACGCAGTTAAATTTGGACCATTCACGATCAAAGAAAAACTCGCTAACGATAACTACAAACTCCAGTTACCAACAAGAATGCGCATACACCCGATATTTCATATCTCATTATTGGAACCCACAAGAAACCCAGAAAACAGTGATGAAGAAGCAGATGGAAAAGAATATGAAGTCGAGAAACTACTCGAAAGAAAGTTAGAAAAGGGACAAATCTATTATTTGGTTAGATGGAAAGGATACGGACTAGAAGACGACACATGGGAACCTGTCAGGAATTTGAATTGCCCTGAGAAGATTCGGGAATTCCGGCAATCAGTTGGTCAAGGAAAGAATTATCCAAGATAGAAGGATCGAAAGCCTCGATATCGGCAGAAGAAGGGAACTCGAGTGCGGCAGCCAAGTTTTGACGAGCTCTAGAAGTCTTAGCCTCTTTTCGTTTCTCCGCCTCCCGCTTTTTCCTCTCTTCCTCTTCCTTCTCCTCCAATTTTTCCAACTCCTCAATGTCTTTAATATCTCTCTGAAGGAATTCACCAGCCCGTTTCTTTAACAATTTTTGCTATTTCTGAAGTCGAAGGATTTTGGCTAAGGCCTGTTCCTCTTCTTCCTGAAGACGTTCTTGCGCCTCGGTAAGACGCTTCTACGCCAGCTTGGAAACAGGCATTTCAACACAGCGACAGTTTGTTGCGCGAACACACTCGTTACAACGTTTTGAGAACTCCGCACGAATACACGTCTTTCCTAATTCACTGCAACGTTTGCAAGGAAGTACGCAGGCGACACCGAACTGTTTGATTCACGACAAGAGTGTGTTTTTCAGAATTGTCTTCTTCAACGACATGGTTAGCTCAGTACCACAACACGAGCATTTTGAGAATTAGAACGCACCTATGGCACAGATGGGAAACGCAGACTATTTATTGCGCTGTCGGGACGTCAGCCTTCAGAAGAGGGGATTGTCAGAAGAAACAAGAATCCGCAGCCAATGGATTGACTAGATAGTGTTACACTACTGCACTACGGAAGCGAGGATTATCCGTAACCAGTAGGGTTAGGGTATCAGAGATATCAGAGATATTCTATGATGGATATGATCTAAGCATCAGAGAAATCAGAGAAAGTCTATGATTTCTATGTTGATGATGGAATATATAAGGACGCTCATTACAGCATGTATTTAGTTTTATTCTATCGTCTTGAATTAACCGTGCTAAGTACCCCTTAGCTTTGACAACTTGAGTATACGTTCTTCTATCGAACCGGATATTCATCCTCTTATTAAGACTTTGCTTTCAAGAAGCCTTTCGTACTTAGAAGCCTTATAACTTCAGCGTGTTATAAGCTATCCGAGATATACTCGACGGTAGTTTGACCGAAGTTTCCGACACTCTCCTTCACATTATCATCTCTAATTCTATCTTCCCTTCATACTACTGATCCCGATCTCTTCTTTACACTATCATCTCTAATTCCATTCTTCTAATATATGATTAATCATATTTCTATCCTCTGAATATATTCCCATTCTGAATCCAATTCAATCTCTATTCAATTGCATTTTTATCATTATACTCCGAATGCAATCTTTGATATATATTATCTTCTATATTCTATTGATAAATCAATTTACTATCTCTTGATATGACTATCTAAAATGATCCTATGGAATCTATTCTCTTCTATATATATCCTCTTTCTTATTCACTCCCTTACATTCTAACCCTAAAACTCCATTCCCATGCTCCTTCCTCTTATATATATTCTTTTCTCTTGAATCATGCATTTCTTCTCCTAATATCTGGACCCGGCCCCTAAAATATATATTTAAAATATATAATCCTGAATCCCTATTCTTCATGATATTTTGATCCTCTATTCCACTCCACCATATATATCCTACCACCACCAATACCGGGAAATCATCCCTATAAAAATCCGAAATCCATCATATGAATATAAATATAACCCCTCCTGTGGTTGATAAATATATAAAATACATCCATCTTTTCAATAAATTAACATAATGGAACTGTCACCTGGCTTACTGACTGAATGGTCAACTGATCCTCTTGTTAAACCGTCAACTGGCCCGATTACTTAACGGCCAACTGGCAACTGACTAAACTGCCCACTGGCAACCGCATAACCGCCAACTATTAAATGGTTGAACTGTCAACTGCCAACGGGCTTCCTGCCTGAACCGTTAACTGGCCACTTGCATAATCGCCAACTGTTAATTTGCTTAACCGCCAACTGCCAACTGGCTAACCACCAACTGCCCAACTTACTCAACTGCCAACTGGCTAAACCCCCAACTGTCAATATTTTCTCAACTACCAACTGTCAAATCATTGAACCGCCAACTGTCACATGGCTCAACTGCCAACTGTCAATTGATTAAACCCCATTTGTTAACTTTCTCAACCGCCAGCTGGCAAATGGCTAAACTGTCAACTGGTTACTGCCTAAACCGCCAACTGTCACATGGCTGAACTGGCAACTGGCAACTGGCTTTCTTCCTCAACCTCTTTGCCGGCTCCATTACTGACTTGCTTAACCACCAACTGGCACTGGCTAAACCGCCAACTGGCTGACTTGCTCAACTGCCATCTGCCAACTGGCCCTACCGCCAACTGTCAACTGCCAACTGCCAACCTACTCAACTGTCAACTGTCAACCGTCAACCGCCAACTATCAACTTGCTGAATTGTCACCTGACTTACTTACCGAACTGTCAACTGGTGAAACCGCTAACTGGCAACTGCCTAAACCGCCAACTGTCAACTTGCTTAACTGACAACCGTTACCTGCCACCTGGCTCAACTATGAACTTGATGAACGGTGAACTGGCTGCCTGGCTGAACCACCAACTGGTTAAACCGCCAACTGTCAAATCGCTCCACCGTCAACCGGCTCTCCTCTCTTAATTGGCAATGCCCTTCCTGACTGAACCATCAACTGGCTTTACTCAACCATCAATGCCTTTGCCGGCTCTACTACCAACCGCCATCTCGATCAATCTATATATATTCCATCATATATACGATCCTAACCAATATTCCACTGCCACAATCGGTATATATAACTAACAATTCCACCATGCCAATCGATATAAACCAGCTTCTTGGCTCCACTGTCAATTGCCTTCTGGTGGAACTGCTAACTGGCTCCCTCGCTCAACTGCCACTGGTCAACGAGCTCAATTACCAACGGGCTCCCTGACGGAACCGCCAATTGGTAACTGGCCGGATCGCCAAATGTCTTACTGGTTTGACCGCCAACTGTCTTCCTGGCTCAACTGGCACTGTCATCCTGGCTCAACCCCCAACTGTCAACTTCCTTGACTACGAACCGCCAACTGTCGACTTTCCCAACCGCCAACTGTCAACTTTCTCAACTGTCAACTGTCAACTGTCAACTGTCAACTGTCAACTGTCAACTGTCAACGGTCAACGGTCAACTGTCAACGGTCAACTGTCAACGGTCAACGGTAAACGGTCAACGGTCAACGGTCAACTGTCAACTATCGACTTTCTCAACCACCAACTGTCAACTAACTAAACCCCAAACTATTGACTTTCTCGACCACCAACTGTCAACCTGCTCAACCAACTGTCAACTGACTAAACCCCTAACTATTGACTTTCTCGACCACCAACTGTCAACTTTCTCAACCACCAACTGTCAACTTGCTCAACTGGCAACGTGCTTAACACCGCTAACTGTCAACTTGATCAACCGTCAACGGCCCACTTGCTCAACCGTCAACCGTCAACTGCTCACTTCCTCAACCACCAACTGTCAACTGGCAACTTTCTCGACCATCAACCAACTGGCTCAAACACCAACTCTTCAACTTGCTCAATCGTCAACGGTCAACTATCAAACGGCTCAACCGCCATCTGGCAACTTGGTGAACCACCAACTGTCAACCTGCTTAACCACCAACTGTCAACCTGCTTAACCACCAACTGTAAACCTGCTTAACCACCAACTGTCAACTGGCTTAACCGCCATCTGGAAACTTTCTCAACCACCAACTGTTAACGTTCTCAACCACCAACTGTCAACGAGCTCAATCACCAACGGGCTCCCTGATGGAACTGCCAATTGGTAACTGGCCGGATGCCAACTGTCTTACTGTTTCAACTGGCACTGTCTTCCTGGCTTAACTGGCACTGTCTTCCTGGCTCAACTGGCACTGTCTTCCTGGCTGAACCGCCAACTGTCAACTTACTCTGCCATCAACTACCAACTTGCTCTGCCGTCCTGGGTCAACTCGTAACCCTGGCAATTGTCAATTTCTCTGAACTGCTACCTGTCAACTGGCTCAAACCCCAACTGTCAACTTTCTCAACCGCCAACTGTCAACTTGCTCAATCGTCAACCGTCAACTGTCAACTGTCAACGGTCAACACTCAACGGTCAACGGTCAACTGTCACCTTGCTTAACCGCTAATGGGCAACTTGCTGAGCCGTCAACTGTCAACTGGCTCAATCATTAACTGTTAACCTGCTCAATTGTCAACTGTCAACTGTCAAATGTCAACTGGTTCGACCACCAACTGTCAACCGGCTCAACCGCCATCTATCGACTTTCTCAACCACCAACTGTCAACTTAATCTACCGCCAACTGTCAACTGGCAACTGGATTAACCGTGAACTTGCTCAACCACAAACTGTCAACTTGCCCAACTACTAACTGTCAACTGGCTCCCTCGCTCTACTATGAACTGGCCAACGGGCTCAATCATCAATGGCCTTCCTGGCTGAACCGCTATCTGGCACCTTGCTCAACCGCCAATTATCAACTTGCTCGATTGTCAACTAACTATTAACTTTCTTATCCACCAACTGTCAACTAACCCTGCCGGCGACTGGCAACTTGCTCAACTGTCAACTGATAACTCGCAACTAGCAACGTGCTCAACAACTGCCAACTGTCAATTTGCTCAATCGTTAACTAACAACTGCGAACTGCCAACTTGCTTAATCATCCACTGCTAACTGTCAAATGGTTAAACCGTCAACTGTCACCTTGCTTAACCGACAATGAGCAACTTGCTGAGCCGTCAACTGTCAACTGTCAACTGAACCGGCAATTGGATTAACCGTCAACTATCAACTGGATCAACTGTTAACTGGCAACTGGAAATTGGATCAACAGTCAACGGTAAACTGTCCACTGTCAACTGGCAACTGGATCAACTGTTGACTGGCAACTTTCTCGACCATTAACTGTCAACTTGCTCAACTACTAACTGTCAACTGGCTCCCTCGCTCCACGACCAACTGGCCAACGGGCTCATCATCAACAACCTTCCTAGCTGAACTGTCATCTGGCCAACTGTCAACTTGCTCGATCATCAACTGTTAACTGTCAACTGGCTCAACCGCCAACTATCGACTTTCTCAACCACCAACTGTCAACTGGCTCAACCGTCAACTGTCAACTGGCTTCCTCGCTCTACTATTAACTGGAAACGCGCTCAATCATCAACGGGCTTCCTGGCTGAACCGCCATCTGGCACCTTGCTCAACCGCCAACTCTCAACTTCCTCTGCCGGCGACTGGCAACTTGCTCAACTGTCAACTGTCAACTTGCTAAACTGACAACTGGCAAGTGACAACTGGCAACGTGCTCAACAACCGCCAACTGTTAACTGGCTCAACCCTCAACCGTCGACTTTCTCGACCGCGAACTGACAACTGTCAACTAGCTCAACCACTAACTTACCAGTTTGCTCAACTATCACCTGTCAACCATTAACTCAATCAACTGCCCAATTGTTTAACCGCTAACTGTCAACTGGCAACTGTCAACTGCCAACTAGTAACTGGTAACTGCCAACTGCCAACTGTTAACTATCAACTGGCTGTTGCTTAATTATTAATCGCCAACTGCTAATCGACTTTCCAGCCTAATTACTAATAGCCCTGTTGAATCGCTAATTCAATCAATAGTTCCAAGCTGTAGTATACAACTTCGTAAACTAATATATATAACTAGTCAATATATGAACCCGGGACAGAATCTGTCAACGATATATATAACATAGATGGTTGCATTGACTATGATCTATCTACGCGATATGGGTGGAATTGGAGGGACTGTGATATAACCTCTTCAATGTTAACTCTGTAAACACTATCAAACGAAATTAGTGGACTAAACTGAACCTTTTGCAGGCTCCAGAAGCTGTTGGAATACATGATAAGCCACCCAGGCAGCATTCGATCCTTCAACCCCAAATGTCGTTCGCTTCTGCCCTAGCCAAAGCATATATGCTGCCTCATTGGATTGTACGTGCTCACCACCAAGACCAGGCAGCAAGCCTTCCGTCCAGGCCTTGATCTGATAGATCGCCCAGCAAGCTTGCATGACGAGATCAGGATAGAGGCAGGTTCCCTGGCCCTGTTGACTGCAAACTGCTTGTGGATTATAGCAACGAAAGCACCCGGCATATCGCTGCATCCAGCCTTGAAACTGCTTTCCTTCCTGCTGTGCCCTCTTTTTTGCCTCAAGAAAGTCCTGTCGACGAGGATTCCAGCAGTTGATAAAGGAATGCTTTTTCGTGTTGGCAGATGATGATGGTAGGATACGGCAGATCACGCAGGTGCCACGGAGCGCTTGGAGGGAATCCCCATACTGCTGTAATTGCTGGCTCTCCTGCTGGATCTGCTGGATTCGCATCTGAGACCCAATAGTCAGATCGCAGTCGACGTTCTCCTCTGGATTAGGCGAGCAGGTCGTAGTAGGATCAGTCGAAGAAGATTCAGGATTCTCTTGACGGAAGCGACATTGATCACAGAGAGGATCAGGCGCGCTGCAGGCCACTGCAGCCCCATCGAGGAAGGAGCTCATCGCAGCGACTCGACAGTTCGGCTGATCTAAAACAGCATGCATAGCCTGTACATCAGACGAGATCATATGGCCTGGTCGGCTCGACTTGGTAATACTCCATGAGGGAGGGAGTAAGGTAATAGAACGACCGCCCTGTTGGTCACGTCCTAGGCGGCCTACCTCCTGCGTAAACTCAATGAGACTGGATGGAGCTCCAAGATGGATAACAAGGCGGACTCGTGGATGATCAATTCCCATTCCAAAGGCAGAAGTGGCAACAATCCAATTTGGATTTCCATTACGCCACGTCTCGAGGGTTTGCGCCTTCTCTTCACGAGTCCCAGAATCAGCATGGTAGAAGGGACATGCAAGAATCGTAGCCACTTTCTCTGTAATTGCTTGGGTTTGGCAGTAGAGGATTGCACGCTCTTCAGAGTCTAGTTGGGTGCGCTCTTGCTGGATCCAAGGAATTGCAAACTTGAAAAAGTCCTGATCTATAGGGCAGGAAACGATCTGATAGGATAGATCGCGGCGAGTGCTGAGGCTACGAATTAACCGTGGCCGAGAGAGTAGCATGGTTTGCTCAAATTCTGCCATCATGACTGGTGGTAGCGTGCCAGTGAGGAAGACCATCTGACACTGAATATCGCGTAATGTAGGAAGTAAGGCCAGTCCCTTGCGGTAAGAAGAGGCGGTCAGAGTCAGATGACACTCGTCAAATACAACACGATCAAGTTGATTGGCAAGCTGTAGCCGAAGAAGAAAGGTTCGGAAGTTGATATGTACTGCCTGCTCAGCACTTACTAGGATCAGTGGACTTGACCCAAGATGTCTTGATTCATGCTGCTGATTCCAGATGGTCACCTCAATTCCAGCATTCTGACATCGAAGGAGCATATCCTGCTTAAGGAACAATAAAGGAAGCACTACTACAGTTGTTCGTGCACCAGGAAGCTGGCAGGGCAGAAGATAGAGTAGGCTCTTGCCCTCATTTGTTCGAAGAACTGCAACCACTTGACTAAAACCCTGGATGATATACTGCAAGGCTTGTTGCTGATTACTGGTTCGATACTGCGCTTCTGGTCCATACATGCGCTTTAGAATGGTCTGCGCCTGCTCCATAGTCCAGCGCTGTTGACTCTGTCGTGGTTCGTGGCAACGATGAAATCGTTGAACTAGTGTGGACTCAGTTGCCTCACTCCGCACTCGCTTGGAAGGACTCTCATCCCATTCCCACTCTATATTGACGTTGGCTGGTTGCAAGGACTGAGTGAATACAGCAGGCAGTCGTCTTTTTAATAAGCTAGGTGTAGAGTACTGCGAGGGCTGTTTGATTAATTGATGCCAGATCTCGCTAGCTTGGCGGAATTCTTGAAGACCAGCATCGGTGAGACCGGCTCGAAAATTGATGGTCCCTCCATAGATCTGATTCCCAGTATGAGGTGTATGTGCAGCCTGATAATGGAATACCGCAGCCATACTGCCATTGTGATCCTCTATAAGGTCATCTTCATTATCAAGAGAATCCTCAATAAACTGTGACGCAAGAGTTCTAAACTTCTTAATGGCAATCCCAACAGTGATCTGGCGCCAGGCTCGAATATGAATCTTCTTACCAAGGATCTGCTCTCCAGTCCGGATCACGGTCCGCGTAAGATGATTATCAGACCAAGGCTTTGTCGTAGAGGCCCACAGGTAGTCACAGAGTGGAGTGGATGTGGAAGAATGCATAGTTTGCACCTGGTGCTGTAACCACTGTCGGAAGGGCATAATTAAGATGAGAAACTGCGTAACTAAGTGTCCTACTTCTGGGAGAAGAAACCGGGCGGGCCATCGAGAGGCATTAGTACGATGACGACTCTTATGATAATCCAGAATAAAGAGCATTTGACCATCATGGAGGAAGAGATCGCGAGTATGCAGGAGGGTGTTGCGCCATCGAATTCCTAGGAACTCAGTGCGTCGCGCTTGCTGGCCAGATCCAATAAAGAAGGGGACGAGTAAAGCCTCTAGGAATCGCTGGATAGTTGCTTCGTACTGTTCTACCATCTTGGGTGAGATCCGCCAGGTCTGATCAACACCCAACTCCCAAAAGATTGGAAACAGAACTGCATCCTGACTGACTCGACGGAAGAGCCAGTCCTGATAGGGTACTACGTAGGCATGATTGCGAGAATCCGTGAGAAAGGATGCACCAGCTTGTGTAGCATCCCAGTTATCCATCAGATTACTAAGATCAAATTGAGGGATCTCAGTAGCCGGCCGTGCTGGGCCGGATAAACACAACTCTTGCTCGAAGATGGCCTGCGCGGTAGAGATGCCCTCGCGGATCAGTCGAGAGAGTTCCAACAAGGACAGACTTACATCTTGGAATGTAATGACTTGGCCCTCTCGATCCCATCGTACTTGAGCAGGGGGGACCTCACTCATTGCAATCCGGAATGCATACAGTCGATTCTCCAGTAGCTCCGCCACGGGTCCCTTGGTATCATTGAGTAGCCATCGATCGCGGTGTCTAATAATAATATCTCCAAGATCCTGAGTAGGATGGTTCTGTTGTTCTAGGATAGAAAGGGCTAGGATCCAGATCTGACAGTTATAGATCAGTTGTGAGAGAAAGGAGGTGTAGTTGCTAACTGTCATCCACTGTTTCTTATCTGGTATCCAGAATAAAAGTGCTGCAAAGGAGACCAGGATAGAGTTAAAGGCTCGCAAAGAGACTGACTGTTGGATAATCTTAAGGCAAAATGCAAGGGTTTGTTTATCCATCTCCTGCTGGAGTTGATGGAGAGCCTCATCATTATTCTGCTCTAATTCTTGTTGGTGACTTAGATTCTTAGCAGTAGTGATCACGTCATCCCAGGTAGACTTCTGACCCTCTGTTGGCAGAAATAAAGGATTAGGAAGAAGCTGGTCATCCATTACTCGACTCCAATAACAGATTAACCTCTGCCAGGTCTGAATGTACCGAGAGCGACTCTGAGGATTCTGGAGAGGCTGGATAGGATTCTGCGAGATCTCTCCTCGCGCAAAGGTATTGAGAAGTCGAGCATTGTAGCGACTTAGCCGTGGGATGTCACTAACAGGGTTGTGATGTAGTAGCTGTTCTGTCTGTCTCCAGATTCGGTCCACGCTGGCGCAGATGAGATCTAATCTTGTCTCATCATGATTGGGAAGTCGATAAAGATCTCCCACCGTTTCTAGATCTAATCCAGTAAGATGAACATGAATACCAGTGGTTCGCAACCATGGAGTAATTTCAGAGATATGCTGACTGTCATTCACAGTATATGACACAGAGTTCTGAGTTTGAAATGTGTGGTATTCCTGGAGAAGAGTATCCAAGGAAGGTAGATCATTTGTAGTAAGAGTAGATGTGATAGATGGAGAGACACGTGGTAAGGAGAATAGATTAGCTGGTACTACGGTAAAGTAACGAATTTGTTCCTTTTCCTGAAATAATGTTTGAAGATGTGCATGATTCCAAGGCATTATTCCTTGACTTTTGCGCCATCCATGTGCCTGGTTATAATGCTGTCGTATACGATCAATATTGCGAGATCGATAGGAACAGGTTTCTATATGACAGAGAAAACCTTGTACGGTCGGAAGATCATTGATCTCGGTAATTCCATCTGTAGGATATATCACTTCATCCAAGTTATTTGCAATCAATTGATAGTCTGGATACTGTTCGATTTCCCGTCGTTGTGGTCGTTTAATATGATGTTTTTGAAGAAGATGTTGGGGAAGATTATGGCGAGTATAGCATGATCCATGATCAGTGCAAAGAATTACCCGCCAGTTTGTAAGGATACGAAGATAGGAGGGGAAAAAGTGCAATTGCTCTCCTAACTCCAGAGATATTGAGTTATCAGAAGAATGAGACATAATTGAGGATAAGAGGAATATGTTGGAGTGAAAATATTTACTCAAAAATAACTATGACTGAGATACAAATAAAAAAGACTTTTGAAATTGATTTCCCCTGATCCATGAATGAAGCTAGCCATATTTATCTTAGCTCCCGAAACTTTTTCTAGCCGTAACCCTGAGCTACGCCATGGCTGAGTACAAACTATAGATAGGCAAAGGACTGGAGCGCTTAGTGGCACGGAATATGGCATGGATCTCTATACACCATAAAGTATTAGCAAGGCAACAATTTGGGGCTCTCCCACTAAGATCTGCAACTGACCTGACCACATGCCTAACACATGATGTTGAACAAGCGCTAAATCAAGGCATGACTGCCTCACTCCTTACCCTAGATGTCAAAGGCGCATTTGACGCCGTGCTTCCTGGCAGACTGATCCGTAGATTGCGTGAGCAGGGCTGGCCTACTAATCTCGTCCTCTGGATCGCCTCCTTTGCTACTGGGCGATCAGTTCAGATCCGACTCGATGGAGAGATTGGCCCCTCAACAGACATTGCCTGCGGCCTTCCACAAGGATCCCCAGTATCTGGCATTCTATTCATACTCTACATAGCGCTTCTATTCCATCTAGGAAACCCAAGGAACAAATTCGGCTACGCCAACGACGCAGCTAACCTGGCGATCTCAACATCCCTTGCTACTAACTGCGAAGCCTTATCAGATTTACTTCAAGAAACTCTTAACTGGGGTGCTGCAGAGGGCATTACTTTCGTACCAGATAAATACGAGCTTCTTCACTTCTCTCGACGAAAAGCAGACTAGGGCCCAACCTGCACACCTTCAGTAAAAGCTGGATCTATTACAGTCTCAGAAAATACCAAACGCCTATATCTACATTGGCTAGGAATCCTCTATAATAAAAAGCTCACATTTAAATGGCATGTCGGTAAAACAGTATCTAAAGCCCTCACTGTGGCTAATGCCCTTCACTTTCTAGGGAATACTGCCCAAGGAGTTAAACCTTATTTACTACAGCAAGCTGTATTAGCCTATATACTTCACAAAGTATACTATGGTGCTGAAACCTGGTGGCCAGGACGTACTCGCCCTGGGCCTACCCAGACTTCAAACTGAGTTGGCGAACATCTTAAGAAACTAACTAAAGTAGTACTAACAGGCGCAAGAGCAGTCCTTCTAGTTTTCCTCACAACCCCAATATCTGTCCTTTACTGGGAGTCTGGATTCTCTCCACCAGAAATTGAACTAGATCGAATAGCCCTCCTTGCAACTATCCGCCTACGGCGTCTGGATCCTTACCACCCACTTCAAAGACGCGCGGAACAGGTTACCAGTAATAGCTGACAAACCAGCCGATTTGCCCGCCGCATACTGGCCCTCCCTAACTCTGAGCAGATAAACCCTCTCCAATACGCTCCCTGGCACCCTCGCGAGACGCGTGAGAATGCTCAAGCTCGAATAGGAGCTCCCATGGGACGCAGTAAGGAACAGGCAGCGGCTAATTTTATAGCTTTTCAATGCACCATCCCTAGCTCTGATATTATAATCTTTTCAGATGGATCTAGACTAGTAGATGGACGTGCAGGAGGAGGTTACATTGGATTTCAAGCACACAATCAGTTCCTCCGCTCCTCACTCTTATATGGACATGGGAAAGAGGTCTTCGACGCAGAAGCAGAAGCTGCTCTAGCTGGTGCCCAAGCAGCAATAGCATACCCAACAGCTCAATTTGCTACTAACTTATGGATCTGCCTTGATAACTTAGAAGTTGCCACACGCCTTCTATCTCCCTCTATTAGATCTTCTCAAGAAGCCTTTGAATCCTTCTACACCCTTGCAGCTGGCTGGCCACTATATGAAAGGCTTCCACACACTAAAAGTGGATCAGTCCAAATCCGATGGGTCCCTAGACATACTAAAATCTCTAAGAATGAAGCAGCAGATTCTGCTGCTAAAGAGGGAGCTGCCTCTATGCCCCCCTCTCCATGCAAGTTCTCATATGCCTCGCTAAAGAGACACGCCAAGACTCAATCTCTCTCTGCTGCCCAGACACGGTGACAGACCATAGCACCACAAACTTACCAAGATCTAAAAATAACTACATCTCCTAAGCGCCCTGAAGAGCTTCAACTTAATAGACTTAACCTTGGCTATATCATTACAGCCCATACTGGACATAGAGACTTCGCAGACTACCATGAATGTTTTAATCATGATAATGCTCATCTCCTCTGTCGATGTAGAGCATGAAAAGCATCTCTACATTTCTTCTTCTGCTATATAGCTAAGAGACGAGCCCCTCATTCTCCTGGACCTCCTTCTGAGGTCATATCCTTCCTTCTAGGCACTGCGAAAGGAGCACAAAAACTAGCTACATGGCTAGCAGAGACCCGTTTTTTTGAGGATATCTGTCCTCGCCAACCTCTCCTTAGCACCTAGCTAAGTCAGCCCTACTTTTCCCTTATATCTCTCTTTTCCCTCTTTTCTTCTCTCTTTCTTCCCTTCTTTCCTTCTTTCCTTCTTTCTTTTAAACTCTCACTGCTTGATTACTATTATGGTAGAGTTATGGGTCATGGAGCGTAGGTGGACCATTGCAGCTGGCAAATATCTAAAACCCACTCGGAAGTGGACCTCCCTGTAAGACCACGGCAGCTATGGAAATGCGCCAAAGAGTCCCTTATTTGTATATAAATCTGATAGGACCTGAAGCCCGAGGTTTACCCCTCGGCGGCCTATGTCCCAGTAGGGATTGGTGGAAAGCGTGCGAGTCACGATCCACGGCCGTTAAATACACACACACACACACACACACACACACCTCGTTCTTGGGGACAAGTCACAATATTAGGAATCAAGATATCTTCATATTGTCAGGCTCATTAGGCCGCTTCGTGTTCGCGCCTTACTACCGTCTATGCTTCGTGATACGGACCGTAGTTAAACCAACAATAGGGTTAGTCCCTCCGGGCGTAATAAACATCATTCATTCATTCATTGATTCCAACAAGATTAAAACGTCCATCTTCCGCTCAATTATACAAGTGCATTCTTGATGATACGACTCAAAGCCTCCGCGCCTGGCCCCTTCATCATAGTAAAGTGGTTCGCTCCCTCGACACGGGAAAAACTCATTCTCGCCACAGGCAAGAGGGTTTCCCACCCACAAGGACCGAAGTCTTTCCTTGCAGTAGTCAAGAATTTCAGTCCCTTGGGGTCGTCATCTCGATGTTCAAATTTTTGCTCAATATCAGCGTCAATGGAATTGCAAGCCCAGATAACATGAGTTTTAGGTGCGCGCGATGCAGGAACAAAAGGAGAGGCATAGTAGTCGTGTAGGCTATTGATACATGCTGTGAAGTGAGGGATCAGCCATGGGGGCGGAGCCCTGCGCTCACCATGTCTAGAATGAACGACGCCTAGAAGTCCGATCTCGTCACAATATTCAAAGTAGCGTCTGGGCAGGTGATCTAGACCCTGAGGAACAGGGCAGTCTAGGAGGAACAGATCGGAGACGACTTCTCCTTGAGCGGCGAGAAGTTGAGCGCAGTGATAGGCAAATATGCCGCCGACGGACCAGCCGCCGAGAACATATGGTCCATGTGGTTGACGGCGCTGGATTTCAGTAATATACAAGTCGGCGACATGGTCGATCCCCAGTGGGTATGATGACGGTTCTTTCATGTATGGACAGTTGAGAGCCACGACGGCAACTGACTTGTCCACGGTAGGCAGTGAGCCATACGATGAGGCCGATCCAGAGCCGTCTGGCAAAAGGAACAATGTCTTTGTGGTGACAGGCGACGTAGGGTTTCCTTGTATGAGAAGTGAGCTTACTTTAGTGCTGGGATTGAGATCCAACGATACAATTTCAGTAGCTGGAGAAGACTTTCCAGTTGGATCGGTCTGGGAACTGTAGCCACTACCTTTCTCTGAAGATTTTTTCGCAGTAAAAACATCGTCTTGCACTCCCTCGTCGTAAAACATGGAGTTGAGGATTGCATCACGTCCTGTTACTGCGGATGGATCTGCAAGGGAAGAGCCCGTCTCCCACTCAGCCTGGAGCTCTCCAACAGTAGGATACTGCTCAAATATCATGGACTCGCAATGTAGACTCAGCTCCTCACGGAATCGGCTGGCACAGAGGAGAGAAAGTAGGGAGTCCACGCCCAAGTCAGCGAATGTCTTTTCTTTGGTCAACTGGGTTACAGGGACACCGCTCTCCTCGGAAATAATCTTGAGAGCTGCAGGCCAGGATGAAGTATTGACGGACGAGGTATTTCTTTCTGCTATGATTACCAGAGGCTCTGTGATGTGCGCTTCGATTCCAGCAGGTCCCGATTTGTTGGTTGACACAGGTGGTTCGACGCGCGTGTCGTCTCTCATGCGAACAATATAGTCCATCAAGCGGCGTGGAACCTTTTGCGCTTTAATGCCACGATAGCAGGCAACAACTTCGCCACCCTCCAGGTCAAAAATTGTCATGTCACCACTGTACATTCCCTCTTCATTGGGACCTGTCATTTTAACATAGGAATGGTAGACGTTTTGGAGGGAGACCTCTTTATAGAAATGCAATGACGTCCAACCGTGGTTGACAAAAACGTCTTTGTCCAGGTCTACTTGATCATTAGCGTTCATGATGAAGAGAGCTGGCTGCCCGAAGTTATCAATGAGGTAAGGGTTGACTTTGTAGACACCCGTAGTAGGTGCTTTATTGCACTTTATCTTAGCTACCGCTTCGAAGGTGTTACTATCGATGACGACCTCAGTGACACCCTTGTACTCAGGGGCGTAGGACGCTAACGAAGAAACAAGCTGATAGCCGGTGCTGCCAGCCATCTTCTGAACACGGTCGTTGTCCGCGATACTGCGTCGAAGACTAATCATACGGGTCAAAATGTCTCCCGCGGATTTCTGGGTTTCAGCCAACGCCTCCGTGGCCACAGGGAAGCTAACAGAACATTCAGCGTGTTTAGTCAACGTCTTGCCTTCTGGGGTCACGCTGTAGAACTGAACAGCTGCCTTACTCGTTGCGGTATCAAAGGCAACTCGGCAGCGAAGGGGCTGAGGTTCCCCGACCACAGTCTTAACTGCCAATGGTTTTTGAACGTCCATATGTTGCACATCGACCAAGCAGTTGGCCCACTTGGGTTCAGATTTCCTGATGTAATCACCCAGCACTAGAGCCATCTCAGCGTAGACGGATGGCGTGCAAAGAGCTACACCATTGATTTTGTGGCCGCGAACGAAGGAATCTAGATCTTCACGTAGGAGATTAGACTCGCCAACCACGACAATTTCATGAATGCCGTGCTTCTCTTCCACAATGCGATGGACGCATGTTGTTGACAAGGCAGGTTTGGCCCCTGTTAAAAAGGCGGCATCTCCTTTGAATAGGGACCAGTCGTTCTCATACTGTATCCAGTAATTTTCAAGATCCCAATTGTAGTTTGGAAGGCGAAGAACTCCAAGAGACTGCTGGAAGTCATGGTGATACTCACCCCACTGAATGGTATATCCAGACTCATAGAGAGTTGACAAGCTGCGGGTCAACACCCTCCAGGCGTCCATCTTACGTTGCAGTGTGGGAAGGACCATCACGGGTCCCAGATTGGACTTCAGCAAGCCGACTATTACTGGGTGAGGGCCTACCTCGATGAAGGAACTGGCGTTAGAGACCAGTTTCATTGCTTTCGCGGCCTGAAGCGCACCACATAGGTTTACAGTGTCTCGAGCATGTCGAGCAAGGTATTTCGCATCCACAATGCCCGCTGTATCGATAACTTGGCTAAGCAAGGGACTCATTAAAGGTACCTGGGGCTTTTCAAATCGAACAGTGGTAGCCGCTGCCTCAAACTCGTCCATTATAGTATCGATCTGAGATGAATGGAACGCATAGGGAACACGCAACCGGGTCATCTTTTTGATTTCCGCTTGACTGAGTGCTTCAACAGCTTCGTCTATGGCGATAGTGGTTCCGCTGAGAACAATTTCTGTCGGAGCATTGATACAAGCGAACTCAATCTGATTTCCTGCTACATGGGCGGCTATTTCTTCTAGGGAGGCACTCACAGCGATCATACCGTGCGTGCCTTGAACACACTTAGTCTGAAGTAGTTCAGCACGTTTGCCAACCAAATAAATGGTGTCTACATCAGACAAGATTCCAGCAACGTTCAGGGCTGCATATTCACCAAGACTGTGTCCCACCACAGCAACAGGCTCAGCTCCCCATGAGCGCCAGAGCTTAGCTAGTGCCATCTGCGAGCATGTTGCGGCAAGCTGGACCACTATGGGCGAAAAGTCGGAAATCTCACCCGTTGTGGCCATGATGACTGGGAGGAAGGACGGGAACCCTTGCCTCTGTGCAATTCGATCGAAGTGCTCAATATCTGCGCGGAAAGACTTAAACTGAAGTAATTCGTGTGCCATTCCTGGGTACTGTGAGCCTTGTCCAGTGAATGCGAATACTACCGAGGTTGCCTTAGGTCGCACCGGCTCTGCAGATGCACTGAGAGTAGTCTTGAACTGTGCAAGGATATCATCCAGATTATTTCCAATGGCTGTGGCCCGGTGAGGATGGTGAACTCGGCGGGCCGTTGTTGTGTATGATAGACTAGGCAGGAAGGGAGCTTCCTTTTCAATATAGGACACTAGACTCTTAATATTGGCAAGCAAAGCAGTCTTCGTCTTTGCTGAAACTGCTACGATATGTGTTGAACGCAAGTCCTCGGGGACTTTCTTGGTCGATCTCGGTGCGTCTTCCACAAGCACACAACTGTTTCCACCAGCGGCAGAGAAGTTGTTAACCATCGCTAGACGAGATTGGCCTTCTGGCCGTGGCCATGGGGTAGGCTTGTCCGCAATGAATACTTTTCTCTCGGCCAGGTTCTGAGGGAACTTGTGATTGATCTTCGTTTTTATGCCGCAGTGTGGCGGGATCTCATTCTTCTCCATCATCATTAGGATTTTCGTGAGAGCAATGATACCTGAGACAGATTCTCCGTGGCCTACATTGGCTTTGACCGACCCAAGGTGAATGGGTGTCTCTCGGCCTTCCCCCGGAGTGGTTTTGTTTGCAAAGGTTGAAAGGACTGACTCCATTTCTCGAGCATCTCCCGCTTGAGTACCGGTTCCATGCATCTCAATGTAACTGACAGCAGATGGATCCACGGCGCTTGATGTTAGAACACGTTCAAAAATTGCTTTCTGTGCGCCGACATGGGGACGAGTGATGCTTTCTGCTTCAGCAGAATGGTTTGTATACGCGTTCAGAATCAATGCACAGATGGGATCGTTATCAGCGATTGCATCTTCGAGTCGCTTAACGACCATACTGACAACACCTTCTCCTCTGCAGTATCCATCGGCATCATCATCAAATGTCTTGCAGTTTCCCGTCCTCGAGAGGAAATATCCGCGGTCAAGTCCGGCAGTGATATCTACCCCGAATCAGGGTAATCAGCCACTTTATCATAATGGACAACAGATGCACTCGGAGGCTTACCTGGGTTAGACATGACATTGGTGCCACCGCAAATTGCCGTGTCAATGTCGCCCCGCCAAATAGCATTGCAGGCTACATGCATGGCCGCCAGACTCGACGAACAGGCTGTATCAATGCTATAGCTGGGACCACTGAACTTATAGTAGTAGTTTTGCCGACCGGGGATGAAAGCACGACAGGACCCAGGGATATAGTATGTATCTATGTCCTGAGAGCTATTAGTTTCACCCCAGTCGTTGCTGATTGATCCCACAAACACCCCGACTCGATCTCGCCGAGTGGAGGGAGTAGCATCGGGAACCATTCCTGCATTCTCCATTGCTTCATACACTGTCATGAGACTCAGTCGCTGGGCTGGATCGACCTGTGGCGCCTCGCGAGGACTCATTCCGAAGAATCTCGCGTCGAAATGCCCTGGATCCTTGAGCCAGCAGCCGTAAAGTGTACCACTGGTATTCTTCTTCTTCAACGTGGGATCTACATGTGTTGCAACGTTCCAACGCTGTTTCGGAGTGACCCTAGCGACATCGCGGCCTTCACAAAGCAATTCCCAAAAGGCATTATTACTGTTTGCATCTGGAAACCGGCCTGAATATCCGACAATGGCGAGTTTAGACTGGCCGAAAACCCCGCTGTCTGAAGCTATAGAGATTTCAGGGATGCTCAGTCCCTTCATTGAGTTGTCCACGTCCACCTTGCTAGTTCCGGCATTCTTCAAAGCGGTTATGAAGGCACTAGACGCCAATGTTCCAACTGGGAGTAGAGTGCATTTTGCTGTACCGGTGGCAGCAATCTCCGATGCCACCCCGTTAGAGAGCATATCGATACGGAGTGGCTCAAGGAGGATCTCCCTTAGCGCAACACGCATGAGGGAAGCAAAGTTCGCCTCACCTGCTGCATTGCAAGCACAGCTGGTCTGAACTGTAATGTGGTTACATAAAGTTCCCCAGCTCCCGTTTGAAACAGTCTGCAGGATATCCTCTACATCTGTCTCATCATACAGATGCGGTGCGTGGTAGGGCCCGCGGATACGGGTCTGTAGGCTAGTTCGTGTAGGAAGATAATCGGAAGCAAGGAGGTGGCTCAACGTTTGTGGTGGCCCAGAGAGCGTCACTCCACTATGGGAAGATGCGCTGATATATGGCCGCGATGCCACTGGAATGCCCTATAATTCGAACCATTTAACAGACATTCTCTAATTTCGTAGTGATTGTGGGACGTACCATTTCTGAACTGAACTTTTCGAGGACTGCAATCGCAGGATCCTCCTTCAATCCCGGAATCACCATGGACCAGGAGTCGGATGCATTGCCCGAAAGCTCAATCCGCAGGCGTACAGCATTGACCAAGAAGCCGGTATGTAATGCAATAATTACAGTGTGGACAGCTAGAGGGATTAGCTCTGACAACGAGCGGCAGCAACTGACTGTAACCGCAGTCAAAAGACCAGTACAAAGGCCCGTTAACCGTTCATTCGCATTTGTAGGGTATAGCTGTCCTGCCTGACTGATATATCTACGACTTCGGTCAGCCACGGGTCTTGTTGCGGCGGAAGGAATGGGATTACTTGATGAATGATGCAAACTGAAGGACACAAACCAAGGCCGTCTCGAGCGCAGGATGTGGCACAGAATCTGATTGTAGTTTGGCCAGCAACTCTGGCAAAGTTGTGAACGAAGGGAAGACACTTCTCTGAGCCAGGGGAAGGGCACCAATCTCTGCACGAAGGGCGAAAGCAGCTCGGTCAAGAAAAGATACCAGGAGCGGATTTCCTTGGGATTTGCACAGGGCTCTCAGGCTGGAATCAAAGTCGTTGTTCAGATCCCCAAACACGTATAATTGGTAAATAGACGACATGTTGAAAATACAGCTTATGTCTGATAGATGAACCTGCAGAGTCACAGCAGCATGCGCACGTGGGACTGCTCTATTTATAACACTCATTCCTTGGGTCCTCTTGAGAATTAATTGCTTATTTTTTCACTTCTTGGTAAAGGCCCGGACCATAGGCTCATCTCTCATGCCCATCCGAGTTTGCGGCCGACGCCGGGTCCCGAATCCCAACTTCCCATACTGCTATACCATCCAAGAAGGTGTTATTTTCGGTTTCCAGATACTGTGTGAGTCGATTCGGGGCTTCTCAAGGATCCATAAATGGGCTGCGTCCAAGCTCTAGCGTACGGGATCCGACTCCAGCAGGCTGAGAATGGTTTTTTGCCATGTTCGGAGTATTGCCCGGCCTATAAGCTCTTCTAGCTCCTGAGCTTACGAAAGAACATATACTCTGGAATGTGAGTAAGGTAAGTATCATTTTGGAATTTCCGATAATGGACTTATCTGCCATTGCCGCAGCGCCTGCCTATCACACCAATGTTGGCACCAGATAGTAATACCGGTGCCTAGTTGGTCATGCACTATCCATGGATTTGGGAATGGCCCGTCATCGTGCTTGTCACGCACCATTCTGCGTGGTCTAACATGTGTGAAAGGTTATGTATGACTGGATAGGAAAGTTATCTTAACCAACACTAGATCCATGCGCTCGCTTTCCGAAAAGTCATTCATACTTCCTAGCGCCATGCTAAGACTAAACATAGATTGTTTCTCCTTTCCGAACGCCTTCTAATGGCCCTATTGGCCGTGGTAAAACTCATTCCTTATCTAACACGTGTAAAGAAGGAAGATACACATGCATGAATAGACATCCATAGTCGGAAACAGAATTTATTGACTCTTAGGAGACAAAACATCCCTTATTGGTCTTTGAGTATGAACGGGTGGCTTATTGCTGATAGGTATTTACGTCTTCGCTTATCATCATTCATTCAACAGCTGTTGAAATTAAAAAAAAAAAGAAGAAAGAAAAAGAGCAAGAAAAAGCTCAAGCGTCTGCAGCAATGAATTTCCCCTGATCACTGAGCAAATTATTGTAGATCTGACACTCGGGCTCAACTGCGTCCACGTAGACCACCTTGCCGTCACGAATGATTTCGTGGACATATCCAAGGCTCATCCTGGTAGATACAAAATTCAGTAAGGCGAACATCTTGGAACCAATCAAATAAAATGAGAGGACATACCGAGTCTTTCGAGACGGGCTGCTTCGATCGGCAAAGTTGAGGTGATCCATGGCCACGCGTTCCTGGTAAACGGGGTCCTCCTTAAGGGCGAAAAACACATCCAGATTTGGAATAATGATCTGGACAATGAAGTCATAATCCGAGAATTCCACGTACTTGGGATCGAATACCCTGGGAAGGAGGTTCATGGGCTTGGCAGCATTATGGGTCTAAACAGGGAGATTAGTCCTCCCTACGTCCTGAGCCTTGTGAAGCATTCCCATGAGACATACTATACTGTATCGAACCACCCCGTATTTCTCCATCAAACCGCAGACAAGCTGGGAGTGTTGGCAAACCTGAAAGCTGCACAGCTCTTCCTCTGTTAGACCCGGTTTCTTGTATCCGAGCATCGTGAGGCAGAGGAGCTGCCGGGAGGGATTGCTTGCAGCCATTGGAGCTGATAACGTGGTTTGAGATTGATAACAACAAGGGATAGTAAGTTCGAAGACCAGAATACTTCTTTGGGATCCTGTCTCCCAACACAGGCGGCATGAGTCTTTTATGGACATTAATGATTGTGCCGAAAGCATTCTTTATCAGTTTACCGAAAAGGGGGCACCGCTTTTTCGATGATGGAATCAATCCACGATCAGGCTTTGAAAGACCCGGTCGGAAGCCGATTAGACAAGACCGAACATAGAGTATGAGAGCTCCCTTGCACTTCCTTGTTCAAGCCACGAAGCTAAGTCTGGCAGCGTTCACCAAAACACGAGGCTTGGCTCTGCTGGTCTAGCGACCTATGTTACGAATCGAGGCCACTGTCAGTGTCTCTGGGATAGCTGTTGCTTTCTTTTGACTGCATGTTCTGCCCGATGTGGTTGCTAATCTATCAAACCCTTACCAATTGAGAACTATTCTTTAGGTGGACAATGTACCTAAGGAGAGCAGTACCTAAGAAGAGCAAGATAAGCTGACATTGAAATAATTAGCATTACCTAACAAAAATCTAACTAACATTTAAAAAAGGATGTCTCTCGACTCATTTAGCAAGCAAATAGTAGTTTCAATACCAATAGTTCCTACAATTACGGGCTCAAGCCAATCTCTAAAATAGACAGATCGCTTCCTAGGGGCTTGTTGATACCCAGAGTACTCAACCAGGGCTCAACCGTACTAATCATCTCCCTCCAATCCCTTTCCCTTCGGACTATTGTGTTGGCGAGTTCCCACTAAATCATAGTTCGGGTGCGTAACATTCCTTCATCGTAGGGGTCTAGTTCACCGGGCTCCGGGAGGACAAGGTTGATGATGAGGATACGGCCATAGGTATGATGCAAGACTGAAGAGAGACGACTTAAGACAGGCTGACATACATGGGTGTGTGTGTGTGTGTGTCATTATTTTACGGCCGTAGGCAGTGATGAATCACTGCCTACCCATTCCCTAGTGGGACAAAGGCCGCCAGGGGGTAAGCCCTGGGTGTCAAGAATTATATACAAGATGTGTCTCTTTGGCGCACTTACATGGCTGCCATGGACAGACAGATATCCTCTACATATAGAGGCTGAATGTTGCTGCCAGCTGCAGTGGTCCGCCTACTCCCCGTGACCGAATCTAACCTGTTCAGCGATACAACCTAAAAGAGAGAAAGGAAAAGACAAGGAAAAACAAAAGAAATAAGTAGCTATGAGTCTCTTAGCTTATATGCTAAGAGGGGGGCTTCGAGGGCAGATATCCTCAAAGAATCGGGTCTCTGTAAGCCATCTGGCTAGTCTGATGGCACCCTTTGGGGTGCCCAGGAGGAAAGGAATGGCTTCCGAAGGATGGCCAGGCAATCTGGGAGCTTTTCTTTTTGCGATCTGGCAGAAAAGGAAGTGGATTGGGGACTTTCTCGCATTGCATCGGCACAAGAGGTGGGCATCAGTGTGGTTGAACCGTTCATGGTAGTCTGCGAAGTCTCCATGCTTTGTGCGTGCCGCGAGGATTCGTCCTAAGATGTGGCGGGGAAGCTGGAGTTCTGCTGGACGGCGTGGGAAGGTGGTGATTTCAAGGTCTTGATAGGCCTGGGAGCCGCTGACTGCCAATATGCCTCCGTGTGTGTGTGTGTTTGTGTGTGTTTATATTTAACGGCCGTGGTTCGTGACTCGCACGTTTCCCACCGTTCCCTGTTGGGACAAAGGCTGCCGAGGGGTAAACCTCGGTCTTCAAGATCTATATCAGATTTATATACAGATAAGAGACTCTTTGGTGCATTGCCATAGCTTCCGTGGTCTTCTAGGAAGGCCCACTTCTATGTGGGCTTAGGTATTTGCCAGCTGCAATGATCCACCTACACTCCATGACCCACTATTCTACCACCACCACCACCATTATTCTGAGCGGAAATTGGGACAAAAGAGAGAAGGAAAAGGGAAGAGTAAGGAGGAAAGAACAGGAAGTACAAAGGAAAGATAGGGTCATCTTAGCTAAGAGCTAATAGGAGGTTGACGAGGGCAGATGTCCTCAAAGAAGCGGGTTTCTGCTAGCCATGCGGCTAGTCTTTGTGCTCCTTTTGCGGTGCCCAGAAGGAAGGAGATGACCTCAGAAGGGAGCCCGGGAGGCCGCGGGGCACGTCACTTAGCTATCCGGCAGAAGAAGAAGTGTAGATGTGCTTTTCGTGCTCCACATCGGCAGAGAAGATGAGCATCTTCATGATTGAATCGTTCATGGTAGTCCGCGAAGTCTCCATGACCAGTACGGGCCGCGATGATGTGGCCGAGGTCAAGTCGGGTGAGTTGAAGCTCACCTGGGCGCTTTGGAGATGTAGAGATTCCAAGATCTTGGTACGTCTGTGGTGCTACGCTCTGCCATAATGTTTTGAGCAGTAGAAAGGGCTCCAGCCTTGGCATACCTGTTTAGCGAGGCATAGGAGGACCTGTGTGGAGAAGGGGGGATAGAGGCAGCGCCCTCCTTGGCAGCGAGATCAGCCGCCCCATTTTCAGGGATTTTTGCGTGTCCAGGGACCCATCGAATTCGGATAGAGCCACTTTTGGTATGAGGAAGCCTTTCGCGGAGTGGCCAGGCGGCTGCTAGTGTGCAGAAGGATTCAAAGACTCCTTGAGAAGATCCTGTGGAGGGAGATAGAAGGCGTGTGGCAACTTCCAGGTTGTCTAGGCAGATCCATAGATTAGTGGCAAATCGAGCTGTTGAGAGTGCTATAGCTGCCTGAGCACCGGCTAGAGCAGCTTCTGCTTCCGCATCAAAGACTTCTTTCCCAGGTCCGAATGAGAGTGAGGAGCAAAGGAACTGGTGATGTGCTTGAAATCCGACATAGCCACCTCCAGCGTGTCAGTTTTCGAGCTTAGATCCGTCTGAAAAGACTATGATATCAGAGCCGGGAATTATATGTCGGAAATCTAAGAAATCAGCCGCGGCTTTTTCTTTAGTGCGTCCCATTGGAGCCCCTATTCAAGCTTCGGTGTCCTCACGCGACTCACAAGGGTACCAGGGAGCATATTGCAGAGGGTTTACTTGTTCAGAGTTGGGGAGGGCTAGCACGCGACGAGCAAACCGACTGATTGGTCGGCCGTTTCTGGAAACCTGCTCTGCCCGTTTCCGGAGCGGATGATATGGATCAAGGCGCCGAAGGCGGACAGCTGCTAGAAGGGCTATTTGGTCTAGTTCGATTTCTGGAGTAAAGAATCCAGACTCTCGGTGTAGGACAGACACCGGGGTTGTACGAAAAGTTGGGGGGACTGCTCTTGCACCTGCTAGTACTGCTTTGGTTAGTTTTCTGAGATGTCCTTCAACTCGGTTTGACATCTGGGGAGACCCGGGGCGGATACGGCCTGGCCACTAGGTTTCGGCACCGTAGTATGCTTTATAGAGGACACAGCCCGATGCAACCTGCTGTAGTAGATGGGGTTTAACTCCTCGAATAGTGTTTCCTAGGGAGCGAAGGGCATTGGCCACAGTGAGGGCTTTAGACGCCGTTTCACCGACATGCCACTTAAAGGTCAGTTTTTTATCGAAGAGAGTTCCTAGCCAACGTAGATACGGGCATTCAGTGTTTTCTGAGATTGTAATGGACCCGGCTATCACTGAGGGTGTGCTGTTTGGGTCTTGGTCTGTCCTGTGTCGGGAGAAACGAAGGAGCTCATATTTATCTGGTGCAAATGTAATCCCTTCAGCAGCGTCCCAGTCGAGAGCTTCTTGAAGAGAGTCTGATAAGGCTTGGCAATTAGTAGCAAGAGATGGGGAGATAGCTAGAAAAGCTGTGTCGTCCGCGTAGCCAAATCTAGTCCTTGGGTTGCCTAGACGGAATAGAGGCGTTATGTAGAGCATGAAAAGAATACCAGAGGCTGCGAGTTAAGAGACTGGCGTTTGCGCTTTCTCTGCCAGATCTGTGAAGGAGATAGACCATTCACGCGGGACTAGTGGAAAAATTTGGAAGTGGCTCAAATAGCGAAGGCATATAGTATATTGATGCTTCTCGTCATAAGCATCTTCGCAGTCATAGGAAAGCAAGACACCTTACATGTAGAGAAATATGAGCAATGTACTCTGTTAGGCCGCTGGCTAGGCGAGAAAGCGTCAGTGTATCCTGGTTCAACTTGTGTCGTAGTAGATGCGCTTCCTCAGGTGCCGTAGAAGGCGAGACATGGATCGGAGTATTTGGCTCTTCGGTTGGATGTGGATATCCTAGTTTTCGAAGGTGATTGCCCAGCTGAATAGAGGTGTCTCTAATAGTTTTTTCCATCTTTTCGATCAGAGAAGATGAAACATTCTCCAGGCTGAGAAGTCCGTTTTGGGCCATTATGGATTTTGCTGTATAGCTGTCATCAACATAGACAGTTCCTAGAATCAAACGGACTGACTATACGCTAGCCAGGATAAATCGGCTCACTAAATTGGTAACTCGTATGTCTTTATGAGTACTATATGCAGGGGCCAAATGGGGTATTTTTCGTTCTGAGGCTATTCGGATGGCGAGGCTGTCACTCGGATTCCGAGCAACAAACCAATTCGGCTTACGAATTAACTCGTTTAACATCACAGCTGTTGTTCTTTATTATAGTCCCGTAATTTTTATGTCAGTATAGCCTGATGTTTGGTGATACTGGGTGCTGCTGGAGTGTCGTACTAGGCTTGAAAACATCAACGTCTTGCCATAGACACTAAAGGGCGACGTTTATAAGTCACGACGCCAGTCAAAAGTATGAAATATTACTCTCGGTGACGAACATTCAAGACTATAGCCATGTACCAAACAATACTTTCTGCTCTTCTCTCCATATGGGTTCTACGATCGCCGTCTCTCTGGACGGCAAGTCTCTCTGTCGTAATCTCGATCACCTACATGTTTCTAAATAATAGATACAACAACGGCTTGATCAAGTACCCGGGACCTTTTATAGCCTCCTTGACGAATATGTGGCGCGTGCGTGATGCGTACGTGAACGGTGGCAAGCGTCCATCCTATGTTACCTTGCATCGCGTGTATGGCGAAGTGGTGCGCCTGGGGCCAAAGGCGCTTTCATTCGCTTCACCAGCTGCTGTTAATGATATATATCGACCAGAAAAGAATATGGCAAAGGTATGTCGTAACGTTGATCCTCTGTGGAGATGTCTACTCACCCTCGTGTAGTCCGGCTGGTACGTCGCATTTGAAGCACATGGCAAGGGTCGCAAGAAGGAGAACATCTTCTCGACTCGTGATATTCACTGGCACGCTCGCTACCGCGGCCTTGTTAGCCCTGGCTTCAAGATCACCAATCTGGCACCCAAGGAAAAAGAAGTGGACGAGTTAATCAAGAAGCTGCTACGCAACCTCAACGATGCGGCTCGCAGCACAGACAAAAGTTCTTCTCTCATCGATTTGCCACTCCACCTGCAGTATTTCACATTTGATGCGGGTGGTGTCTTTGCCTTCAGTCAACCCTACGGCTTCCTTGACCAGAAAACCGATCTTGATGGAATTATTCAATCAGTTCGCGTCGGCTCGACGCATTTGAACCGTGTACGCAGAACCCTCTGGGACATGACAGATACCTCGGCTAACTTTCAATTATAGTTAGCTCAAGCTCCTCTAGGACAACTGTTATTTGATAAAAACCCTCTTGCTGTTTATTTTGGCTTTATCGCGCCTCCAATGGCATTTGCGAAGAAATATTTGCCTACTCAACGGATCGAAGAGCAGCTTAACAACCCCAATGCAATGGGCCAGCATCACGACTTGCTGGACCAGTTCCTAGAGGCACATAAGAATAGCCCGGATATTGTCACCCGGAACGAAGTGGTCGATCTCGGGCTAATGGTGGTTGTACCTGCTTCTGAGGCTGTGTAAGTCGTGATATGTGTATTTATGGAGCTAAAACTTAACTAACACCTATATGAAAGTCGTACTGCCATCGCAGCCCTTATCTACCATGTCCTCAAAGTCCCAGAGGTTCTGACAAAACTGCGCCGCGAAATCGACTCCATCCTTACAGACCGCGATCTTATCCCATCTTGGGAAGTTGTCTCCAAGCAGCTGCCCTACCTCGATGCCTGCATTAAGGAGACCTTCCGCATTCATCCATCTACAGGATTCAATATGGAGCGCATTGTCCCAGCAGGTGGTGCTGTCATCGACGGTCACTTCGTGCCTGAAGACAGCATCGTGAGCTGCTCAACATGGGTCATTCATCGCCATAAGCCCACATATGGAGATGATATCGAGACATTCCGGCCAGAGCGCTGGCTTGAGGCGACTTCCGAGCAGCGCGCTGAGATGGAGCGACTCCTCTGCCCGTTTGGGTTTGAATCTCGGCTTTGCCTCGGCCGAGAGATTGGCCTCTTCGAAGTTTATAAGGTCAGCGCGACGCTATTGCGTGAATATGATGTGAGTAATATTTGATGTTGTTCTTATTCTGCTCCATGTTACAATTCATTGGCTGACCCACGCCCACAGTTCACACTGGAGAAGCCCAATGAGGATATGAGAATTACATGGGGAAATATTGTTAGTGTAGATTTCAACGTCTGGATCAAGCCTCGTAAATTGTGAATGAGTCCGACTGAAATTGGATGTTGGGATTTAGGAAGTGAATGAGAATGGGAGACTAAGTATGCTTCTAAGAGTGTCATTGATCTAGACCGAAAAATCTTATAAAATATGAAGAGAACCTAGTGTAGATACTCAGAAGAAGAAAGGCTGAAGATAGTCTACCTAACATGGCAATCCTTTATAGAGGAGTAGAAAAAGAGTAAATGAAGTTCGTAAGTAAAAATACCGAATAGGAAGACGAAAAGGGGGCTGTATAGAGAGGAGGTATAATAAAAGCAAGTTTCTATAGCATGAGCACTGTTAGGAACACGCCGTAGTTAACAATCGCTTCAACTCCCCTAGCTTTAATTGTAAATTCGCGTGAAACTCGTTACAAACCACTTTCTCTCCCCAGGTATCTTCAGACGCATTAACCCGCGCAATGAGGAGCTGGCATGCGTCGAAAACGGGCCGTAGCTCACAAAGGAGCAACTGAGCCTTCATTCTGGTCTCTGTTTCCCGCGGAAGATGGAGGGTCCCGATGGTCAATGGCACAGTGTAAACGGACTTCCCTGGTTTGGAGTTTGAGCTTGAGGACGCCGAAGACGGTACTGTTGTGGGAGTTGCATCTGTTGGTGTCGTGGGCTCTCTAGTGCCAATACTGGCTATGTCGTGATCATATAGCACTTGATACCAGGCAAGAATTTTGGAGACGATAGTGGCGAGAAGTGACAGAAGTGAAGGATCATGCGCAGAGCTACAGGCACAGCTGAGCAACCTTGACACCGTGGCTGTTGCGCCCCGTGCTGTATGGAAGACCAGATCACTGGTAGGTACTCGTTTCGATGGACTTGAAGAGTTCTGGCTTGATAGCCGTGGACTCCGATTCTGAGCTGCACCATCACTCCGCATGAGTTGATAGAGGGATGACAGGGTTTGACAAGCAGTAGCAATACACGAAGCATGTGCCATTTCGTAAATTTCGACCTCCATTCCTTGGTTGTCCTCGATGGCGTTCCCTTCCTCGTCACTTTCTGCTGGTTCATCATCGGCCACATCTGAACCACTGTAAGCCATCGTATTCCCAGTCATCCTAGCTGTCCGTTCTGTGAGAGACGTCCCTAACCGTGGAGGAGGAGCGGATGACAGCAATGGGGGTGAGTCCGATGGCAGATGCGTGTCCATCAAGAAACCTTGAGGATTCATTCTGTCGTACTGCGAAGCCTCTGCCATGGAGTGCACGATAGACTCCCATGAGCCTTGCATGAGATGACCTAGAGCGGGAGCGGAGTAACTGGTATCCGTGAATATACTACCTGCAAGATTCCATTGGTAATTTCCCGGGCTATTGACTGGTGGGAGCACGGACGTCGACTCAGGCCGCTCCGAAGCCTGGAGGGAAGCTCTATTCACACATCCTGGCGGTTTGCCCTTCCTTCTCGAGCGCCCATAGACACATTTGCGGCCGTATTGGGCACAGCGGGCACATCGAGGTTGCTCTTTGGAGCATCTCACTTTGGACGCGGCACACGGGTCGCAGGAAGTCCGAAACTTTTCTCGGGTCTTTGTGGTTATATCTACCACCGGCTGCTCATGATTAGACATGGAGAGGACATGGGAGTTTTTTTTTTTTTTTTTTTTTTTTTTTTTTTTTTGAACCTGGTCTCTCTTTGTTGTCGTCCCGCGACTCAATTTCCTTCGAGATTGCTTCTGAGGTTGTAGGGTGTTAGGTGACTTAGTCGGCGCTTCGGGCGATAGTTTTTTTTTTTGTTTGTTCTGTAGTCGCCTTATACAGTGGAAGAGTGAGGGTTGAAATAGCTGATAACACTTCTCCATCAATTAGTTAAAAGGCTGTAAGCCTGGTCATTCGTGTGTTGCTGCGAATCAGGTATCGGTGTGTGGTGCAGGGATCATCAGTTAATGTACCGTAATGGCGCTAGCTCAGACGCTACTCCGGAAGCGGTCTTAGTGCAGATCTAGGAGATGTTAAGCAATAATTAGATATATGGATTATATATGTTAGCTTATATATAATAGTACTTTAACAAACTATCTGTTTTCCCCAGAGAGTCGAGCTACAAAAGTATCGCCTAGAACCGACTATCCTAGAGTGCTGTGCTGTAAGATCATTCAATAATACATGGGACTGACTATCCCAGAGTGCTGCGTCGCAAAACTATCACTTAGTCTAATGTGTAGGACTAAGTGCACGAGGATCTCTAGGCTGTAATATCCTTGACGAGTTCAAGGCATGCACCATTGTAGAGTGCTGCGCCGCAAAATTATTGCTTGCATGGGACTGACTACTTGACACCTTTTCAGCTGTACGCTAGGGTAGGACTTTGCCCGCTCCCCCTGTTCGCAGGCTGCATGATTCGAAGCGAAAGGAAGCGACGCAGTGCATCCTCGAGAAAATAGAAGGGGAAGGTAAGCAACGAGCGCTCATAATTGGGTGAAAAGGACTTTATTGCCACGAGTCGAAACCAAATCCCCTGTATCCTGAACTAATAATGGGGATAGCTATAGCCGGCGGAATTGGTCCGAACAACAATGAAATCGACATCCCTGACAACTCCTGCAAACTAATAAAAATCCAACATTAATTACTATGGTTGTGTGGTCTGTCATAGCCAGTAGGGCTGGGTACGGACAATAAACTTGATTAATAATAATAATAATAATTACTATGGTTGTGGGTGCATAAAGCACGTGTACACGTTAATGTACGTACGTACATGAATGGTTAGCAGGTACTGCAATTCTGTATGGGTTCAAAATGTGTGTGATTGTAGCTATCTAACTCACGCCCCGACGCGGTCTTACATCCCTCTATCCTAGACGAGGTCACGTGACGCCCTGCGGCTCAGTGCGTCGGAGTGAGGCATCTCGATTGCTCCCACAAACCAACACTGGATCTCTTTTACAAATTGGATTGCGATCGAGATCCAAAAACCCATGAAAAACCATACAAAAACATAACGAAGGGATCAAACAAAAGATCTATTGAGGTAGCTGGCGTGTCCGAAAACACGTCTCCACTTCGATCTCGTCCCCCACTTGGCCCCGAATCGCCTCCTAATCGCTCCCGGTTCTCTCAACGAAGCCTTCAACACGAACTGTCAGCTTATTGCTGTCAACAAGGTCCCATAGGGCCTTGTTAGGGCTTGACTTCGTAAAAGCGTCGGCCGGGTTATCGTCTCCATGGATCCAACGGATCTCGTGGATCTCGTGCTTCTCATAAGATTGACGAAGTGCCATGATATCGATCATGAGGCGTTTCTCTTTGGTGGTCCCAAGCTTACCGAGGCATTCATAAAGCGAAAATGAATCCGTACAAATAATTACAGGCATTGCCAGTAGGTCCAGACGACTGGTGATCATTTTGGTGGTACTGGCAATAGTGAACGCATGGTCAAATCTAGCTGTAAGGCCATAGACCTCAGAGGCTAGTATACTCCGTGTAACGCGTTTACACTTTGCTGATTGCCAATGCAAGATGTTGCCAGTGGCGACGAAGCGGCCTTGCTGCGAGAAGTCTTCGTTGACCATGGTAATCAGGAATCCGATTTGGGAAGTCAAATCCCGGTTATTGGCAAAGGATCCATCAGTAAAAACCATAATCCTGGCTTTGGCGAGGTTGAGAGGCACATAACGGAGCCCTCTCTCTGGATTCTGGGCCTGCCATATGAGACGTTTATTCAACGCCTCATAATCAGAATCGGAGCGATCCTTCTCTTGCAGCTGAGCGGCCACGGCCAAGTCATACGCAGCTTCAGGTTGGCAGATCGAAGCCAGATAGGCTCCCCGTGCGCGTTGTTCGACATACTTCTGTGCGCGTTCTTCCATACCCACTGGTTGGATCCTCGCTGCTTGCCCTTTCTGTTGTAAATTGACAATGCCATTCTGCAGGGTAATTCTTGCACCATTGAATTCTAGAGGCTTGGTCTCCGAGAGTCGTGTTTTTGGCTTCGCTTTAAAGTTTGCCTCTTGCAACGCGGCTTGTTCACCTCTGGAGAACTTTTCTGTATAGATAAGAAGTGTGTCGTCCGTTTGCATTCCCACAAGTCCAAATTCGTCGTCTCCTAGCTTTGAGATAAGAAGGCATGGGTCGTACGTCGAGGTTTCCATGTTCAATTTGTTAAGATGGTGCGCCTGGTATGTTCCAAACCAATGAACACCTGCCTCAGGGATCCCATATAGCGGGCCTTCAACTAATAGGAGTGAATCTGGTGGATACTTATCCTGCATTTCAATGGGAAGATTGGCGATAATCAGACGCTCGAGCTTGGTCTTCGCCTGTGTGTATGCTTGCGTGATATCCCGGATCTTAACGACCATTCCCATCTCAATGAGTGTGGGGATAAGCGACACTAATAAGTGTTGGCTTGCACGCTGGATCGTGGGTGCCTGGGTCAAGATCTTATCCTTCCCAGCGTCGTTATATCCTTGTATAACAAGTCGAGATTTCTCATAGGGAATCTCGTTCTTGCCCTTTATCTCGTTGACAAGGCGGGAATTGAAAATTCTGATGCCACGTAGGTCCATATCGGCACGGTGAAGGATCTTGAAGGTCCCATTTGCTATCAAGCTGTCGATCTCTGTTTTTCCTGATAATTCGAACGGCACGCCGTTGGTGGCGATCTTGCCTTCACGCCGCAGCTTGACGGCAAGTTCAAGGTCGTCCCTCTCCTTTTTGGATATGAACACTTCGGCGTACGCTTTTGGCTTATTTTTGGAACCACGCGGTCGTCCTCGGCGGCGTGGCAACACAGGCATCTCGGGGGTCTGCGGTGCGTGGACTCCCCCAGTCTCAACATGGTGATTCGGATTTGCAGGATGGTCTTGCAGTCTTACCCTTGCTCTAGTCCTCGGAGTCTGGTCGAAGTCGACTTGGGACCGACCGTCCTGGCGATTGAGATCCTCTTGGGGGGGAGAGAGAGGCAATCTAATCAGGCGATCACTCTCATCCTTGCTATCACGTAAATACTGCTGTACCGACGTCGCCCTGAATGCAACAGCACCATTTCCAAGATCTACAGTCACGTCATGGCCATTGACTGATATAACTTTGTACGGTCCTGACCAACCATCTCCTTCGCGCCATACTTTGACTTCGCTCCCTGGTGCGAGATTAAGCGTTTCCGTGATAATTGGGCCGTTCCTGGTGTTAAGTGCGTCATTGACTCGTTGCTCTGCCACGGCACGTCTCAATTCAGCCATCGCCTTTCTCATTGCCTCAGCACGTCGAGCAGTTAACGCGGATGGGGGCGAGTCAGTTGTTATGCACGGGTAAGCACCAAAAACGAGTACAGT